GAAACTTAGAAATAATTGCTTTACTAACCCCATTGGTTAAGAAACTACCGACAATATTCAAGAGATAAAAATTAATATTGTTCTCCGAAACCTCCCTCTTTTTTCTACGTTCCTCAAACATTACGTCGATAAATAATTTCCATCATTCAATTTGAAAATTCAGAATAACCTACTTTGATAAAGACTATATCCGAAGGTTCACCAAAATGTCTTTCATTGATTTAAAATTTTTGATAAAAATTTCTAATTTTTCAAAAGTGAAACATGGAAGAGAGATGTAACTACAACGACGAGACCCACCTGTTGATGAATTTGCCCGGGTGAGGTTGTTTTCCAAAATCCGTCTTTCCGTCACGTCACGTTTAAACACCCTCGACAAATATTCAAATCGTCGATCTAGAAATTTAAAAAGCAATATAAAAATTGCAGTAACCGATGAACTAGTCGATGAAAACTAACATGATACTTTAAAATCTCTTTTAATTTTGCACGAATTACTCACTATTACGAATAAATATATCGATACAGATAGATATAGGTGTTCAGTAATCGGCTCGGTGTCACATCGATCTATGAATTTGGCGCCAGCTCCTGTGATATATAAATGTTATCCGGATCAGGCGCAGTTAGTCGACATAAACTCACCCCTTGGTTCATAAGTGGGGGTTGCCACCTATGGTGGTCGAGCTACTACCTCGTACCACATCCCTGTGGTGTATGGGTATTCGAAAATAACGGAGGGTAGGGGATAAACACCCACTACTAGGGGGAAGCGATACGAAGCGAACAGTTCGCGCCAAAATGCAGCTACAGATAGCTGCTGGGGTGGGATACGCTTCAAGGTCAGTTCAAGGTCGTCTACCATTATCTTATTCACAGATTCAACGGAGATATTCTTTGAATAGGTATACAATTCGAGTTTCTATTCCTATTCTGATATTTCGAAGTGTTTATAATATCAATTTTGATATAACTGCAATTCCATAAATTCACAAGGTTGAAAATTTGGAAATCTATGAATTTAAAATATTTTGGAACTGGAGAATTACAGAAACTGATACAAAGTTTTTGATATTGATAACTGGGAATTTGGATAATTGATATTATTATAATATTATTATGAAATATGATATTATTATAATATCAATTATTTCAAATTCCTAGTTTTTAATTTTGATCATTTTTTCGCAGTTCTTGGAATTTTCAAGTTCCCAAATTTTTTAATTCGTAGATTTAAAAATTTTCAAATTCGTGGATTTCTGAATTTTCAAACACTTTGTAAATTTTAATTAATTCTGAATCCTTAGATCTCAAAATTTCTAGCTCTCTAATTATATGTATTTACATATAAAATGAATGAGACAATATTTTCAACTTCTTTCTACAGCTCTTAATTTTTCTGTGTTCATTATTTAAGCTTGACAATTAGAAACTATAATACAATCGCACTATAATTAGTGTTTGATCGAATTCGACATAATTTAATATTACAAAAAAATGTTTTATAGTTACACTAGTGGTGACATATATGGATATGTACATATGTGAAAATCGTTAGATATTTTTTCATACTACAGTTGTTCCTAATACCTGCATGGAATTTATCTTTAATGTATGAGAGGCATTTCATTTCGTTGATTAATTTCTCTTTTCTCGCGAATATCATTCGGAGAAGGAACTTCTCTTTCATTTGAAAGCGCTGCGCACGTCTAGATAACTAGTGGCGTATGCAGGATTTCTGGCTGTGGCAGCTGGAATTTGAAATTTTAGAAATTTGGGGACATAGCTGTGGAATTTGGGGAAATATTAGTTTGAGAATTTGGGGATTTGAAGGTTGAGGGTGTGAGGATTTATAGATATAGGGATTTGGGGATGTAGGAATTTCTGGATGTAGAAACTTGGGAATATAGGGATTTGGGGATGTAGGGATTTGGGGATATAGGGATTTGGAGATTTAGGGATTTGGGGATGTGGAAATTTGAGAACGTAGAAATTTTGAGATGCGAAGATCTGGAGATGTAAGAATTTGGGAAAGTTAAGAATTCGGCGATGTGGAGTTTTGAGAATGTAAGAATTTCGAGGGTGGAGATTTTGAGATATAGAGATTTGAGTACGTAGGAATTTCGGTATATAAAAATTTGAAAATATAGGAATTTAGAAACAGAAATTTGGCAATATTGCAATTTGCAAATACTAAGATTCAAAAATATAAAAGTTTGCAAATGTAATACTTAAAAATTAGAAAGTTCCTACCTTCCATATTACTCACAAACCTTCCCCACGTAATTACGCCAATGTTGTGCAGTTTTAATACACATTTCCATGAACATTTTATTAATTACTCAAATTTCTCATAACGTTCATTTGAAAGCAAATATTTGCAACATTTCTATACCTTCATATATCAAAAACATCTTCTATAACAATACAATTGTTTTACCCGGCTAACCTTGCCTCCTCTCAGCATTTAACTGTATTTCCGCAAACTAGTTTATTTGGTCCGGAGAACCTTGAAAAGTCCTGAAACCACACGACCACACAGGTGTCCTCCCACAGTTGGCGTGTGGATCCGAAGTAAAAGCACCCCATATTTTTGATAAACCGAACTCGTGTAATTACGTCAATGTTTTAATATGTTCCACGAATATTTAATTATGATTTGGTTTGTTCATAACTGTTTCAATGAAAATATGTAGCGTTTGAAAATGTTCATATTTTGAAAATTTCTTTTGTAATAATTCAATTATTTTACCCGGACAACCTTGCCTCCTTTTAGTATTTAATTGCATTTCCGCAAACTAGCTTATTGAAAAGCCCTGAAACAGGGCGCGCATACAGATGTCAACCCACGAGTTGGCGCGTGGACCCAAAGTAAAAGAAGCCCACCGTGAACACTTCCAGTTACATTTCGGCAAATAATAATAATAATGACAATAACTGCTGAACGCATTCGCGCTATCTCACTCTCGAGACGTTTGCCTGTCATTGTTTTTGGCCTAATTGTGCGACCGCTCGAGATATACCGAAAATACGTGTGGTTGTCCATTTTTCTATTCTGACCAATTGGAGCCGTAGCTCTTCTAAACAGCTGGGTCACGTAGCGAAAGAGTGGGAAACAGCCAACATAAACGAGTTATATCCGCGCATGTCAAGTATTAATATAACAAGTATTAATTAATTTATTTTCATAAACAGATCGATACTAAGAAATATACATTCACTTCGTAATAGACTAAAGGTTACAATAATTACCCTTGCACGTGCAGAAGCTGTTGCACGCGTAAAATTGTACATTAAGTACCTCCGAAATGTACTAATTAAATTGATTGCAAAGTTAATTGACAGTCACTCGACTTTTCATTCGTTGAAATTTAATATGCAGGAATATTAAATTAAACGAATCATAACAGTTATTTTTTTCTGTTAATAATGTATCTCAAAAATTTATCTCGGATAAAAACATTTCACATTCTAGTAAAGTGAAAAATTCCGATATCAGTAAAAACTCAATAACAGAGAAAGAATAATTAGTATCCCTGTTTCGAGTCTAGTGGCTTGTTGTACACGTGCAAGATTGACGTATGTGAAAATACGTCGCGTTTTTTATTATCCAACATTTTACTCCGTTTGTTTTGATATTCAATGGCATATCAATTTCTGCGTTGCTTCGTCGGTGTACTACTATTTTATATTTATTTAACAACGAATGACAGTTAAGGATTTCTCTTAATGTTTCTAATAATTATTTGTCTTAATTTTTCTAATAATTATTTCTCTTAATTTCTCTAATATATATTTTTCTTAATTTTCAAGAGTTTTCTGCCAGACACGTGGGTGTCTAAATTTTTCATTTAGTTGATTCGTTCATTTACTGAAACTAGGGATGTGTACGAGACTCAAAGCTTGTTACGTTGTTCGAAAAGCTTATTAGATACTGCCTCTACTAGTTCGGAGCGCATCGAGTCGTTCTAAACAGAAACTTTCATCTGGTGCTATAAAATACAGCGATTCAATTTTCCTAACGATTTTGATGATAGGAAAATTTTAGTTTGGTAGCTTTCAGATTTTTAGGAATTTTGGAATTTGGTATTTATAAGATTTGGGAATTGAGAATTTTAAGATTTTCCGATTTTGGAATTTGGAAATTGAGATTTGAGAATTTTAGACTTTGGAAATTTTGAGATTTGAGAATTTTAGAATTAGGAAACTTTGAGATTTGAGAATTTTAGAATTTGGAAATTTTTGGATTTGAGAATTTTAGAATTTGGAAATTTTGAGATTTGAGAATTTTAGAATTTGGAAATTCTGAGATTTGAGAATTTTAGAATTTGGAAACTTTGAAATTTGAGAATTTTAGAATTTGGAAACTTTGAGATTTGAGAATTTTAGAATTTCGAAATTTTTGGATTTGATGATGTGTGGATTTGGAAATAATAGAGTTTGGAAATCTTGGAATTTGGTAATTTTTGAATTCAGGGATTTTGGAATTTGGAAATTTTGAGATTTGAGAATTTTTAAATTTGGAAATTTTTTGTATTTGAAGTCATTTGGATTTGGATATAATAGAGTTTGGAAATCTTGGAATTTGGGAATTTTGAAATATGGGGATTTTAAGATTTGGGGATATGAAAATTTAGAGAAATAAGAAATGGAAATTTTTTCATTTTGAAACTTGCACATATAGAGATTCAAATATAAAGACATAAAAATTTGCAGATACACTGTAAATTTGAGAATGTAATATTTTACGTATTAGAGGATTTATTAATTTACAGATGTGAAGACTTCGTCATTTGTTAACTTAGAATTTATTGAATTTGGCAATATAAAATCTTGATGACCTCAAAATTCACAGACTAGAGGATTTAGATATATGCAAATCTAAAAATATACTAATGAAGAAACCTATCTATTTGAACACAGAAAATCGAATTTATAGAAATAGACTAAAAATAAATGAAACACTCTACATATATATACCATTTCCTTTTATTATTATACAACAGTTATATTTATCCTCCATCGAAGACATTCGTACAATTCTCCCTTCATCGATCATATTTAAATATAATCCTCTATCATCACCCCATTTGTGTTTCTTCAGGTATTCGTTCTAGGTTAGTATATGCGTACAAACTGGTTGATGCTGGATCCACAATCTCTGGGAAATCATAGTGCGCAGGATTTATGTCCTTCAACGTGACGCTTATCTTTTGATGAAGTTGCATTGTCCTAGGCTTGTTCAAGGTTCTCATAATTCCTGTTGATTCTGTGTATGAATGCATTCCTCTTTCCGATATGCGCATGTAACTTAACGATGTTGTCTATAAACATTGATAAAAAATTAATACATTTAAAAATTTACAAAAATTATTTGTTTATTATGTCAAATTTTTTTGCTTGTTAATTCAAACATTTTTGTTTGACAGTATTCGAAATTTTTATATTTTCATGTCTTCAGACTTTCAAATTCTTTCTTTAGTAATCATTGAAATTTTCGTGTTCTCAAGTTCTTAAATTTTAGAATTCTTTTATTATTAATTATCGAAATTTTTACGTGCGCAAGATTTTTTACTTTCGAATTCACATATATATTCAAATTGGGAGTAGTTAAGGGACTCAAATTTCAAATTGTCAAAGCATCAAAATTTCAAGTTTTCAAAGCACTCAAATTTCAAGTAGTCAAAGCATCAAAATTTCAAGTTTCCAAAGCACTCAAATTTCAAATAGTCAAGTATCAAAGTTTCAAGTGCTCAAAGCACCCAAATTTCAAATAGTCAAAGCATAAAATTTCAGATAATTAAAGCATACCTTTTACAGCGCGTAGAAGTACCACGCGTGGACCTATGGCGCAAGGAAGTACCACGCATGGAAGTACCACGCGTGATATTATAGCGCGCGGAAGTACCACGCTTGGAATATGGCGCGTGGAAGTACCACGCGTGATATTATGGCGCGTGGAAGTATCACGCTTGAAATTATGGCGCGTGGAAGTACCACGCTTGAAATTATGGAGCGTGGAAGTACTACGGATGGAAGTACCATAGCTGGAATTATGGCACGTGGAAGTACCACGCATGGAAGTACCATAGGTGGAATTATGGCGCGTGGAAGTACCACGCGTGATATTATAGCGCGCGGAAGTACCACGCTTGGAATATGGCGCGTGGAAGTACCACGCGTGGTATTATGGCGCGTGGAAGTACCACGCGTGGTATTGTGGCGCGTGGAAGTATCACGCTTGAAATTATGGCGCGTGGAAGTACTACGGATGGAAGTACCATAGCTGGAATTATGGCACGTGGAAGTACCACGCGTGGAAGTATAGCGCGTGGAAGTACAACGCGTGGAATTTTAACGCGTAGAAGTGCCATGGGTGGAATTATGGCGCGTGGAAGTACCACGCGTGGGAGTATAGCGCGTGGAAGTACAACGCGTGGAATTTTAACGCGTAGAAGTGCCATGGGTGGAATTATGACGCGTGGAAATACCACGCATGGAATCATGGCGCATGGAAGTGCCACATGTGAAATTATGGTGCGTAGAAAGACAACGCGTGGAAGTATGGCGCTTGAAAGTACCACGCGTGGAACTATGATGCATGGAAGCACTACTCGTGGAATTATGGCGCTTGGAATTATGATACGTGGAAATACCACGCGAGGAAATAATCGGTGCACCCATCTCCTAAATATTGCAACCACGCAAATTCTCAAATTCTTCAACCTTCATTCCCCCCCTTCTCAACCCCTTCAAATCTTCAACACACATCAAACACTTCATCTCCCCAAAACCCTTCGCAAACATTCCTCCAATACCCAAAATTTTCACCAACTCCCATCTCGAAACTACCCCTTCATACTACCCCAACCTCTAAACACTACCACAAAAACTTGCAAACTTACCATATCCATAAAAGTGTTCTTATGTCCCCCACTGAAGTCCTCATGGTTCCCAAAGAAGTATATCTTCCTATTAGGACAGCTCTTCGGTTTCCTGACCTTCTCGATCTGCAGTACCGCCCTGTTCAAGGGCAGCATGTCAGGCCTGTCCGGTTCGAAGACAATCTCGAATGGCCGGTGACGTTCCACGGTGTCCTCTCTGCCATACCCCGCCCTTGACATTCTGATCTCCACCTCGCAATACCCGATACTCGAGTTCTCCATGGTAACGAACCGTTGTCGTCCCTTTTCCAGTTCAAAGCCGACGTTCAGTTGACCAATGATTGCTCTAATCATGTCCAGCCTCCATCTAGCGATGCTCCTCGAGACGACGAGGTTCTCGATGCCTCTCGAGTTGAATCTAACCTCGAAAGGCTGTTCGTCGACGAATCTGTTGCTCACCGGAACGAAATTCTTCGCGTTCGTGCATCGGTCGTCTTCAGGATCGGGTCTGACGATTCTTCCATTCGCGAAACGACATCCTAGAGTGTCGCTGCCTTTGGATCGACACTTCAGCTCCGTCGCGAGCATCGAGCAGAAATTGTCCCTGTGATGCACGATATTAGACAGCGACATGTTCACCAGAACGTCGTAAGTGGATTCCAGGCCATATCGTTGCCAATCAGAATTATAGGACGATTCGTCCACGGCTACGTGCGCGGCTGGAACGACAAGGACCAGGGATGGTCAGAGATCACACGTGCCGTAGGAAATGTATGGAGCCTTTGATTTGGTATGATGATTAACGTTTATGATCATTTGCATTGATGTAATGGGATTTGCGTGAAGGACGTATTGGAGATGGAGATGTGGAAAGTTGGAATTATTAGGTTAGGGGAATTTGATTGCTTGTTGGGGTGTGTACGTTTGTGGATGGCGGGATTAGGAGATAGAGAGAATTGGGAATATTATTTTATTTAGGATTTTTTGATTGGATGGGGAAGGTGGGGATGTTAGGATGTGGAGACGTGGGGAGGTAGGAATTTTTGGAGGTGGGAAATTGGGGATGTGGGGATTTGGAGACGTAGAGATTTGGGAATGTGGAGATTTGGGGATGTGGAGATTTGGGGATGTAAGGATTTGGGGATGTGGTAATTTGGGAGTGTAGGGATTTGGGTATGTGGGTATTTGGAAATGTGGAGGTTTGGGAATGTAGGAATTTTGGTGTGAGGAGATTTGACGCGTGGAAATACCACGCGTAGAAATACAACGCGTGCAATTACGGTGCATGGAAGTACCACGCGTGGAATTATGGCGCGTGGAAGTACCATGCGTGAAATTATGGTGCGTGGAAGTACCACGCGTGGAATTATGGTGCGTGGAAGTACTATTCGTGGAATTACGGCGCGTGGGAATACAATGCGTGAAAAATACTACGCGTGGAATTATGGCGCGTGGAAGTACCATGCGTGAAATTATGGTGCGTGGAAGTACCACGCATGGAATTATGGTGCGTGGAAGTACTACTCGTGGAATTACGGCGCGTGAAATTATGGTGCGTGGAAATACCACGCGTGGGAATACAACGCGTGGAAATACAACGCGTGGAAATATAATGCGTGGAAATACTACGCGTGGAAGTACCACGCGTGGAAATACAACGCGTGGAAATACTACGCGTGTATTTGGAAATGTGGAGATTTGGGAATGTAAGAATTTTAGGATGTGTGGATTTATAGATGCATGAATTTTCGGATGCAATGATTCAAAAATTAGAGTAAGATTTCTCGAACTTGAACTGTGAGTCCCAAATCACAGAAATCAAAATATCTTTAAAGTTTGAATTCCAAAAAATGCTTAACAAGGTTTAACATAAAATATCCCTATAACTCACCCACAAAAATAGTAAAATTAACCCATAATAAAAATCCTAACAAAATTTCTTAAACTTGAACTAACATATAAGAGTATCCTAAATGAAACAAGTCAAAGTACACTTAAAGGTTTAAGTCTGACTAAGGTTCAGTATAAAATAGCTTACTGTAACTTACCTAGCAAAAAAGGCAGAATTATTACCAGCATGTCTGATAGCTTCTACTGCCACGACTGATACGACGACGTTCCATCTGTCTCCTCTTTATACGACAGATAACTTGATTCATTACCGTCTCCTTGAAAACAATTTCATTAACAACCGCTTCCGTGCGGATCGTGGTTCCTCCAGACATCTTCCGTATTGTCGCGCATACTTGATATCACTTTCTGTAGTTTCTGGATTGTTGCAAAACACGCCTTTGTGATCTTGATAAAATTCCTTGTCCTTGAAGCTAATTAAACGCGCTGCACGCGATCGACTTGTCGGTGCGAGCTAATTAATTTAGTATTTTTTCTTTTCTGGTTGATGCTTTCGAATAGATGTTATGCATAATACTAGATTTAGAGGTGATTATAATGTAGGAGAGAATAGTAGCAGGTGTTTATTGTATAATATTTGTTTTTGCGTAGGTTAGTTAGGTTAGGTATTAGACGATGTTTTCAAATAAATATTATTATGTATAATATTAGGTTCAGTGATAATTATAATGTAGGAGAGAATAGTAGCAGGTGTTAATTGCACGCGCCATAATTCCACGCGTGGTACTTCCATGCGCCATAATTTCACGCGTGGTATTCCTATGCGTCATAATTCCACGCGTGGTATTCCTATGCGCCATAATTCCACGCGTGGTATTCCTATGCGCCATAATTCCACGCGTGGTATTTCCATGCACCATAATTCCACGCGTGGTACTTCCACACACCATAATTCCACGCATGGTACCTCCATGCACCATAATTCTACGCGTAGTACTTCCATGCGGCATAATTCCACACGTAGTACTTCCACGCACCATAATTCTACGCGTATTAGTTCCACGCACCATAATTTCACGCGTGGTACTTCCATGCGCCATAATTTCACGCGTGGTATTTCTATGCGCCATAATTCCACGCGTGGTATTTCTATGCGCCATAATTCCACGCGTGGTATTTCTATGCGCCATAATTCCACGCGTGGTATTTCTATGCGCCATAATTCCACGCGTGGTATTTCTATGCGCCATAATTCCACGCGTGGTATTTCTATGCGCCATAATTCCACGCGTGGTATTTCTATGCGCCATAATTCCACGCGTGGTATTTCTATGCGCCATAATTCCACGCGTGGTATTTCTATGCGCCATAATTCCACGCGTGGTATTTCTATGCGCCATAATTCCACGCGTGGTATTTCTATGCGCCATAATTCCACGCGTGGTATTTCTATGCGCCATAATTCCACGCGTGGTATTTCTATGCGCCATAATTCCACGCGTGGTATTTCTATGCGCCATAATTCCACCCGTGGTATTTCCACGCACCATAATTCAACGCGTGGTACTTCCACGCACCATAATTCTACGCGTAGTACTTCCATGCGCCATAATTCCACGCGTTGTATTTGTAAGCGTGGTATTTCCACGCGCCAAATCTTCACATCCCAAAATTCCTACATTCCCAAATCTCCACATTTCCAAATACCCACATACCCAAATCCCTATTAATAATAGTTTTTGTATAAAAATTTTTGGATAGGTTAAGTTAGGTTAGGTTGACCGTCGCCGTGAAAGTGAAGGTATATAGTCAGACATATTGAAATTTCAGTAATTATGAACGTTTATTGTCATTTTCCAACTTGAATTTTCGACATAATATTTTGTATTGCTTCTACATTAACTTTCTATATTATTAACATTCCGTTATAATTATAATTATAATAATAATAACATAACCTCTAAATAATACATATGTTATATGTAACAATACAATATAATTATAAAAATAATAAATTAGATATAAAAGAAGATAAAATACTTTAATCTCGTTATTAATAAATACTTAAATACCTAACAAATTCTTAATAAACATTTATTAAAATAATTTATAGAAACTATATTTTTAATAGAACCAGAAATAGAAAGTTCTAACTAATCTATCCTGTTAAAATTGAAAGAATTTATTGTAAATAAATGTTCATCAAAATATTTGAAAATAAATAACTAAAATTCTTAATTCCCACAATTTTAATTGTTAATAATTATCTGGTCTAGTCTAATTACAATTAAGCGAATTTCATTATTGTTTGTCCTTGAATGAAACCCAGATGCGTCTATCAAATCGGATCCTTGCTTCATTCGGGATAATCGAATCATTTAAAGCGGTCCACTGCGATTAAAGTGGAACTTGCTGTTAAACCGTTTGTTTGCGAATCCTTCAAACATGGTTATTTCATACGAATTTCCTTAATTTCTGTGTGATTGCTTGATTTAATGTAGAAAGTGGATAAATGTATTGACTTGCTATAGTTATTTAATAATAATTACAGTTAAATTTCATGAAATTTATATTTTCGGTATAATAATCTTCCAATTTTCACGTTTTAAGATATTCGTAGTAGTTTCTTGATATAATTTTATTAACTTAAATAAAAATGAGTATTTTTCATTACGTTGTTTGAGAATATTAAGCTGACGTAACCTAACTTAAATGTGTCCTAACATAACCTATCCTAATAGAACCTACCTATATCTGATCCTCACCTAACCTAGTCTGCTATAATTTTAATTTTACCTTACCTTAACTGACCTAACATAACGTATCGCACTCCAAACCATAACCTAACCTAACTTAAACGTGACTTAACATAACCTACCCTAATAGAGCCTATCTATATCTGAACCTCACCTAACCTAGTCTACTATAATTTTAATTTTACCTTACCTTAACTGACCTAACATAACGTATCCCACTCCAAACCATAACCTAACCCATCCTAACTTAAACATTACTTAACATAACCTATCCTAAAATCGTCTACTTATACCTTAACCTCACCTAACCTAGTCTGCTATAACTATAATATTACTTCGCCTTAATTGACCTAACCTAACGTACCCCACTCCAAACCTTAACCTAACCTAACAAAATGAAACATAACCTAATTTAATCTAACCTGATCTCAAACCTTACAAACCTATCTCAACTATCAACCCAAATATGAATTAATTAAGATACACATACAAACAAAAAACATTTTTATTCTCCACAGAATTCAATGCCAATACAGCAATACATTATTTACAATAACAATGACACATTATCTTCCATCATCAGCTGCCAATAATGGCAAAACGACTATCGATCGTTTCGTCGCATATCATGTCATAGTACACATTCTTTTCCCTCTTCAGAATTCAATCATTCGATTAAATCTCCAATGACAAATCATCTTCGATCGATTTGTCCATCAACCATCTTCCGACGAACATACTAGCTGGTTCAGGTTCTTTTACTTCGGGTGGTTTACCTTTCGCTGGTAAAATTGACTCTAATCTGAGGCTTATATCCTCGTATAAGGTTGTCATCGCTCCTTCGGACACTTTGTTCGTGATTATCACGTTCCTGGTGCCGGATGTGAATTCCGTGGATGTTAAGGCGATGTAACTCGTTGAGGAACTCTGCAAAACAAGAATTTGTTTTTAATCTTTAATATTTGGAGGTTCGTTGTTTTTTAAAATTAGAATAAATTGCTACTCGCTAGATAGACATATGCTAGATATTTGTACGTCCGATAGCTGTGCGTTAGATAAATGCACGGGGTATTGTTACACGTTGTATAGCTACGCGTTGGGTAACTACGCGTTAGGTAACTACGCGTTGAATAACTACGCGTAGATTAGATATATGTTAGATCGCTGCCTGTTAGATAATTACGCGTTTAATAGCTACGCGTCATGGGTTATATTTCTACGCGTTATATTTCTACGCGTTTAATAGTTACGCGTTTTATTTCTACGCGTTAGATTACCACGCGTTATATTTCTACGCGTTAGATTACCACACGTTATATTTCTACGCATTAGATAACCACGCGTTAGATAACCACGCGTTATACAGGGTTTGTCCAATAAGTATCCGGACTGATTTTTTTCTGCTAGTTTGGTAGGTCAGGGAGCAATCTCTATTAGCTAGATCGATGCGAAAAGTTGTTATGTATAATACAAATCTAGGTCCATTTGTTTTCCACCATTTGTTTCGTTTATATCGTGCTTGAAGTGGAAGCGGATTTAACGTTCGCGTCGAGAATCAAAATGCAACGAAATATCGAGCAACGTTGTGCGATTAAATTTTGCGTTAAGCTAAATAAATCTGCTACGGAGACATTTAATATGATTCGTCAGGCCTACAAGGATGATTCCATGTCCAGAACGAGTGTTTTTGAGTGGCATAAAAATTTCAAAGATGGCCGTGAAGACGTTGAAGACGAGCAACGCGTTGAACGACCGTCGTCGTCCGGATCCGATACGAATGTCGACAAAGTGCGGGAAATTTTGAATTCCGATCGCCGTTTAAGCATTCGTTTAATTGCACAGGAATTAAATTTAACGAAATCCACTATTCATTCTATCGTAACCGAGGATTTGCAAATGCGAAAAGTGTGCGCTAAATTGGTTCCGAAGGTATTAACAGAGGAACAGAAAGAACGCCGTGTGACGATTTCTCGTGAACTTTTAGAATGTTTGGAGAGGGATTCAAATCTTTTAGACAGAGTGATTACCGGTGACGAAACATGGATTTTTGAATACGATCCGGAGTCAAAAATGCAAAGTGCTGAGTGGCACACAAGCGGCTCTCCTCGACCGAAAAAGGCTCGCATGAGCAAGTCAAGGATAAAATCGATGCTTATTGTCTTCTTTGACGCAAAAGGTGTTATCCACAAGGAGTTTGTGCCTGCTGGACAAACAGTGAATGGCCAATTTTACGCAGAAGTGCTCGAACGTTTGAGACTTAAAGTACGCCGCGTACGAAGGGAGATCGCGAATTCCTGGATGCTCCATCACGACAACGCGCCAAGTCACACGTCGTTAATTGTGAGACAAATACTGACGAAGCATAACATCACAACACTACCCCAACCACCCTATAGTCCAGATATGGCACCCTCTGATTTTGTTCTGTTCCCTCGCATTAAAAGAAGCCTTAAAGGACATCGTTTCGGGACGATTGAGGCGGTTCAAGCGGCTTCGACGGAGTGCCTGAACAGTCTTACGCTTGCCGACTTC